TATATGTATGTATGTATGTATGTATGTATGTATATTTCAATTAACTATTCAAAATAATAATACGTTTATTATTATTATTATTGTTGTATTTTATTTGTATAGCACCTTTCATGCATAAAATGCAGCTCAAAGTGCTTCATGTGTCAACAAAAAACAAAAACAAAATTAATCAAATACAGAACACAGTAAAAAAAAATTATTATTATTATTATTGCACCCTTCATACATAAAATGCAGCTTAAAGTGCTTCACATTTCAGTACAATATAAATCAAGAGAGAAAGTAAAAGTGTACAATTAGGATGTAATAATAACAATAATAATAATAATAATAAAATCCATCACCATGTTGAAAATATTTTCAGTCAAAGACTTTATTCAGCTATTTTAAAACTAATTTTACGAAATGGATTAACAAGACACAAAACAAATTAAATAAATAAATATAAAATAAAATAAAACTTTCCAAGGCTTTATGTGAATTTTGTATTTGTTTAACTGTCATGAGAATAATGTCAGAATGCAGCAGAACATCATAATGGTGCTAAAATTAAGCTTCATTTTCTTTATGCAACATAAAATGTCTTATTTTTCTTTCTTTTGATTTTGGGGTGGAATGTGATCTGGGTGTGATTTGATGAGACTGATGCAGACGGCAGTGTGTATGTGCTGTTATTTGTGAGGGAGCAAACATGTGTCTAATAAAAGCGAGGAGCAGACGTGAGACGAGGCGCTGAGCTCATAATGAAATGTTTGCAGAATCTGCATCAGAGCGTCTGAATCAAACACTCTCTAGGTTACTTGTGCGTTCTCATATCTTATGTTGTATAATTACTGATTTTAGATATGGACAGGATTTAATCTAAACTCTCCATGAAGCCAAACTATCAGGGCTTTCCCACTGAATTCAAGCTTATGCAAACACAAACACACACACACACACACACACACACACACACAAAAAATCTGAACTTCTAGGCTGTGTTTGACTTTTTACTGAGAAAATTTGTATTGCTCAGAATTTGCTCGTTTATAGCTCAGATTCTCAGTTATGTTTTATTTAAAATATCAACTTTTTCCTCAGATGTTTCTGCTAAAAACAGACATAAATTGAGTCAACAGTTGACATACAGTGAGTATAGAGCTAAAAATGAATGTAGAGCAAAATTCTGTTCTGAGAAGAATTTGATGAGAAACCTCAGCTCTCTTGGTTTTGATCACAGATTTTAGTATTTTGGCAAATCTGAGTAAATTGTGAGACACTGTTGAGATCTTGATGTTGGAGGAGACACATGTGAAATCACTAGGGTTTTATTCCCAGAAGAAACATCTGAGAAGCAGGAGACTTAGTAAAAGTATCAATTTGCTCTCCATTTCATGTCTAGGAGAAACAACCAAGCTATTAATGAGATCTCATTTGTGATTTTTCTTCCCTATGAGAGTGTATTGTGTGTCTTACTTTGGTGAACAGTGAACCCACAAGTCTGTCAGTGGCAGATTTAAAAGCAGCTGTACTCTGTTTCTTATATAACGCTTCAGTTGTTTTCTCCACCTGCAGCAAACACAAAACACAGAAAATATCCAAGATTACTACAAGCTTCTTTAGAATACTTGGTTCTGACAAAACACATGTTGTTGGATTGGTCTGCCAGTCAAAGGTTCCATATTTGGTAACTGTTTTGTAATAGAAGTGATATTGTGACAGAAAATGATTGATTTGTGAAAGAAAACTGCATCAAAAAAAATTCAATAGAGTTTGGGTGTCACCCAGTGGTCATTTTTGGTATTGTGCCCAAACAAAATCTCACAGGAACCACAATTTTTGTGATATCAACTTCAAATTTGGAACATAACTTGGTTAGATATATGGCTTTGATTTTATAGCAATTTTAGAGTGCAACATATTTGATAAAATATTTATTTTATATCAAATAAAATAAAAACTAGTATACTACATTATCTTTACTGTAAACTTAAACTTCTATAACTTTTTTATACTTTCTTTTTTTTTCAGCGATAATCTGCTTATTAGTTTTCTTTAGAAAGAGGCCAACCTTAGGTCTGCATTCCAAAGCGTTCAGCAATTACATTCAAATAAAAAATAAGAGTCAAGTTTTGAAAAAAATTATGAAATTATTTGAGTCCCAATAAGATGGAAAATAGCAATTAATTAATTTTCTGATGTCTCTTTATGGTTTTGCCCTTTTTAGGGTTAAGATTTGACTTGGCGGCATGAATGCGGAAACATAAAATTCTCCAAAACTGTTCACCAAGCTTACGATTACATTTCAAATTTGAAATCACCAATGAAATTTGACAACAACTGTCCCATAAATGTTGCTTCTTATGCTCAAATAGCGTTAAAAAAGGCTTATTTTTTCAGGCTAGAGCAGCGCATCTCAGAACGCTGAGTGCTGCTATAGCAACCAGAGCTTCAAACGGCAGCTGCAGTGACAAGATGACTTTTTTTATTGAGAAGGCGGGACTATTCTGCCACGTCTTTGTATATCTTAAGTCTTTGACGGAAAGCACATACTCTCTTTCTCCTGCTCTCTCTCCCATACAAATGTGCACACACATCCAGTACGGACACACACTCACAAACACGGAAACATACTTGCACACAAAAACGTGTTTAACTCTACTCTGACGATTTTATCAGTAAAATAGTTTAGCAACTACACCACCTCGGGTGTGCATTATTTTTTAATAACAGCCCTTCATCAATTATTCCTTATATAATGACCGATTCATATTAATGAGATTTAATGAGATTCAAATAACACTTAAATTTGGACCTGTTCTTCTTATAATTGGAATATATATGTTTTCATACTTTTATAATACTTGCATGACAGCCGCTGGTCTCTGTCTACTTTCACTGTATGAAAAAAGCATGTTTGAAATTCTCCAAAAAAACTATTTTTGAACAACACAGAGGTGAATAAATGATGACAGATCTTTCACTTCTGGGCCAAATATTTCTTGTTACTATGGACTGGTGCAGTTTTAGCAGCTCTGAGGTGTCTGTGTGGTCTCTGTTGAAAAAAAAACTCCTCTCTGGTTCAGCTTATAATGGAAAATCATAATCTCCACTATCATGACGCTAGAGATAAAATGCAGCAGGTCCTCATCTCAGACTCAGAAATACTAGCTTTCTGCAAAATATATATAGTACTTTTAAGAAACTTCACTAAATTGCAATGAAACTGAAGTAGTTATATTGCCTGTGTCCAGTATTTTTTACAGCCTCATCTTATACAGTGTTGGGTAGGTTACTCTAAAATAGTAATGAATTACTAGCTACTAACTGCATCTTCAACAGTGTAATTAGAGTACTGTACTAATTACTCACTCTAAAAAGTATTGCATTACTTATTAATAATTACTTTCTAAATCCCATATAAACCTTGACCAGTTGATCAATACTAGACCTGAAACTGCTCTTTTAATTCAATCAAATAAATAATATAAAATTGCATAAATGATTCTTGAACTGACCAAGGTATTTTAAGGGAGAAGTTTATATTAAAAACAAATTTTTTCACATTAGACACTAAATTTTGATGAAAAATCCACTATTGTTTTATATTAAATTGTTCTGTAGTCATGGATACAGTATTTAATGCAATTACATCAGAAGTAACTGTAATTAAATTACAGAAAAATGAAGAGTAATCTCTTACTTTGTCAAGGGGAAATTAATTATATATATTGCAGTAATTAATTACTTAGTAATGCATTACACTCAACACACTTGGTTGGGTAGGTTACTCTAAAATAGTAATGAATTACTAGCTACTAACTGCATCTTCAACAGTGTAATTAGAGTACTGTACTAATTACTCACTCTAAAAAGTATTGCATTACTTATTAATAATTACTTTCTAAATCCCATATAAACCTTGACCAGTTGATCAATACTAGACCTGAAACTGCTCTTTTAATTCAATCAAATAAATAATATAAAATTGCATAAATGATTCTTGAACTGACCAAGGTATTTTAAGGGAGAAGTTTATATTAAAAACAAATTTTTTCACATTAGACACTAAATTTTGATGAAAAATCCACTATTGTTTTATATTAAATTGTTCTGTAGTCATGGATACAGTATTTAATGCAATTACATCAGAAGTAACTGTAATTAAATTACAGAAAAATGAAGAGTAATCTCTTACTTTGTCAAGGGGAAATTAATTATATATATTGCAGTAATTAATTACTTAGTAATGCATTACACTCAACACACTTGCATTTGTCACACTTGCAATGGAAGGTCTAATCAAGCTCTGCTTGCATATTGGACATTTTGCCAAATGCAGTGGGTCATCTCCATGTGCACTTGACGTACACTTCTGTTCAAAAGTTTGGGGTCAGCAAGAGATTTGTTTGAAATAAATTACTTTTATTCCAGGATTCATTCAATAAAAAAGTCTCAGATAATCTACAGAGCCAGTAGGACACATTCACTGCTCTTATCTATGCAGCCAGAGACCATGAACGGGGAACAAAAGCAGAGGAGAGTCCATAAAAGACCTCCACTTGGGTCGGTTTGGTTCAGGAATCAGGCCAGCTGGACAATCACACTGGAAATGATGGACATTTCCAAGAAAAACAGCTCATAAAGTCCCAATGTCCTGTTCTGGGTGGTTGCTGTCTGGTTGTTAGGGTGTTTAACGTGGTTGCTATAGCGTTGCAAGGTGGTTGCTATGCAGTTGTTAGGGTGATTTAGGTGGTTGCTATGCCATTGCTAGAGTGGTCTGGGTGGTTGCTATGCTGTTGTTAAGGAGTTTTAGGTGGTTGCTATGGCGTTGTTAAGATGTTGTGGGTGGCTGTTGTGGTTGTTAGGGTGTTTTGGGTGGTTGCTATAGCGTTGCTAGGATGTTCAGGGTAGTTTCAAGGTGGTTACTATGTAATTGTTAGGGTGATTTAGGTGGTTCTTATGGCATTGTTAGGGTGTCCTAATCAGTTACTATGCAGTTGTTAGGAAGTTTTGGGTGGTTGCTATGGCATTGCTAAGATTTTCTATGTGGTTGCTATGTAGTAGTTATCATGTTTTAGACAGTTGCTATGGCGTTGCTAAACTGTGATCACTCTTGCAAAGCTTCTTTTGTGCATGCAACAATGATGTGGTTGCTAGGGTGTTCTAAGGAATTACTAGGTGGTTGCTAACATCTTTTGGGCAGTTGCTTGTTGGTTGTTAGGGCGTTCTGGATGGTTATGCATTTTAGACAGTTGCTATGTTGTTGCTAAGCTGTGCTCGCTCTTACAAAACTTGACGATTTGATGCAACAAAGATATGGTTTCTAAGATGGTTATAGTTGCTAAGGTCTTTTGGACAGTTGCTGTTGTTAGGGAGTTTTAGGTTTCCATGGTGTTGCTAAGATGTTTTTGGAGATTGCTCTGCGGTTGTTAGTGTTTTAGGCGGTTGCTATGGTGTTGCTAGGATGATCAGGGTGGTTGCACTTTTATCATCCACCAGGCAGAAATCTTAAAGGTGTACTGTAGTATGTAATATTGACAGTTAGTGGTTGAAATGGGTACTGCGGTCCAAATTCAAAATACTGGAGAGAGTTGTTTCTTCTACTATTTCTCCTCAGACTCAATGCTCATGTGGGTTGCCAGATTGCGGACACGCAATAGGAACAAGTGCAATTGACAATGAAAGGCGACGAGCCTTATACTGTGAGTTAATGAGATGATTTATCTGCATTTTAATATTCCTTTGATCATAGAGCTTTCTAGATGGATTCCGGGGCTTTTTAGGTCGAGTAGAACCCAATACTGACCCAGTCTGTTTGCTGGCTTCCATGACTGCAATACGCTGTGTTTTCCATCAACTGGCAACCCAGGGTGTTGAAATCCTATTGGTTAAATTGGCAGTGGGCGGAATCACACGGACCAAAACAAAAACAGACATTCTGAAACAGAACACACGTTTCAAAGTAGAATAACTCACTGTAGCAGTATGTTTCCTAAATATCTGCAAACATATTATGGTATTTTTATGCTTTAGCACAGTCAAAAAAAAAGACATACAGCACCATTAAATCTGACTGCTTAGAAAAGTAAAAGCACACCTCTCCTCAACAAGCCAACAAGCAATTCAAGGCTGCATTCACGTCTGTAGCATGAATGATTGATACTTCATTTAAAAACCTCACCCTGAGCATGAGCAACAGTAATTAATAGTGGCGTTTGCAATTAAGTGCAGCAACTGTGGTACTTTGGCTAAACCTATGGTAAATTTTGAAAGGACAGGCTCTAGATTGTAGACTGACATTTAGTGAATGCTGAGAAATATTCAGTTCAAGGGGATTTATGGAAGATTTATTCGTTTCATTGGATGAAACTCTCTGAAAAGTCTGAATAAGCTCCCAAGGGCGGTGGCAGATTATCGCACAATAGACAATAGACAATGAGTGCACACTTTCTGGGTTGAAGAACTGCTCACCTTGTACTGAGTCGGCCCTGGGCGTCTCATTTCCTCTTTGCTGGGGAGGAAAAGCCGGCGCGGTGCAGTAGAGCCGAAGGCACCCTTCCTTGTGCTCTCCAGACAGGCTTTCTTCAAACTCTCATAAGCCAGGCCATACTCAAACACATTATAGGCACCGGGACCTAGAAAAGACCTGCACGAGTAAGATGATTAGTTACTACTGGAGTTGTGCTAACTAGTGCTGTTTGATATTGATGGTTGTTCAGAAGTTTGAGGTTGGTACTTTTTTTTTGTGTTTTTTAAGGAAGTCTCTATTGCTCACCAAGGCTGCATTTATCTGATTAAAAAAATACAGTAAAAACTGTAATATTGTGAAATATTTTTACTATTTAAAACAATCAGTGTTGAAAACAGTTGTGCTGCTTAATATATTTTTGGAAACTTCGGAAAATGTATTTTTAGGATACTTTGATGAATATAATTTCATAAGAACAGGATTTATTTGAAATATAAACATTTTGTTACATTATAAATGTCTTTACTGTCATTTTTGATCAATTTAATGTGCCTTTGCTAAATATAAAACACTTTTATGGGTTAAATCAGGTAAAAATAGATTTTTAAAGTAACAATTGCAGGTTACTTTTTACAGTGTAGTTCATTGCACTTTGACCACTTTGAATGTAATAAAAGACAATTAAATTCAAACTCTGAAAACATCAAATTAAGTAGAAAGCAGTTCAATGGAAGGACACAAAAATGTTTTCATAAAATAACATCTTGAGACCACCTTGTGCACTAGTACACCAAGCACTTTTGGCATTCTATTTTCAGTGTACTATGATTTGTGATGCACTAATTGTAACTTTGCATACTAGACAGAATGCAATTTAGAATGCATCTTGAGTGTCTTGATTGGTCGCTTTGAAAATGGCTTGAAATCCGATTGGCTGCTGTTGCAAAGCATTTGTGTAACAGTATAAAATCTAGTGCCAACTTTGCTAACCTCATGTTTGTCCCTCTGGCAAGCACAGTCCAAATCTGACCTCTGACTGCATTTCACAGATAAAAGACATTTTGCATTCAGAAAGCAGAACAAATTCACAAACACCCAGGTACAAACCTGGCGTAGCTTTCGATCTGTTTTCTGGCAGGAAGCGTACAGCTGTCAGGCCGAAAGCATTCTTCTTCACCCCTCTGCCTTTCTTCAGGATCTCCAGAGCACAGCGCGGGTCATCATACGCACCTACAGGGGGCGTCTCATCCTTGACTGGACTGAACCTCTATGAGAAACAACACAGTACTGAGATCAGATGAAAGTGACATGAAGAGGCATTCACATTCACAACACATTTTTACTTCTGTCATTATATTTTACTAAAAGATTATGAAATACAGTTGTGATGTACTGATGAGTTGTGCACAATAAGATCAGAAATGTATATTAAACAAGTAATAAGGTCTAATTTGATTTCATGTTACTTCAGGAGAGTTTATTCCAGAGCAGTTGTTATTAGCAGGTATGAATGTCCAGAAATAAAGGAGTGTGTTGTTGCCTGAGCTTGAGACAGGAAGGGTGGACTCAACCCAGGAGCGTGTGGGTTACAGGGCGTCTCAAACTGACTCTTTATGTAGTATTGCCCTGGTCCTGGAACACCCTAAAAATACACATACACATACATATATGAAAAATGCACACATGATGAAAACAAAAGTTATTTGTACCCATACAGAAAAGCATCCATGCAGAAATGCATCTAACCTTGAGCTCAAGTCTTGTTGCAATAGTGCCCTCTACAGACAAGACAGAATTCTTTGAAATGGAAGAGTTTCATGAACCTTTGAAAAGTTTGCATGTGTTTTTTGAGTATCATATTTTATACATCAGGCTTTTATGGCTCATATAGAATATAGTGAGAATATGGAGGAAAAAACAGCTCAACTGTATTCAGATTTCAGAGGTTCAAACTGAGCAAAATTATGCAATTTGGTGCAGTCGCTAATATTTATATGGCCAAAAAGTAAGATAAAATTCTGATAATACGTTTGTAATATAAATCAATGAGATCTTTATAACAGTATAGCAGACTACTTACATAAAATGCATATAAATATCAGTTGTCTCTCAATAATATGTCTTAGTAAGATGATATTTAAATGCTTAAGTTTTATGATCAAAGCTCTGTAGTTTCAAGACATATAATGCAATGCAATACAATGATGATTCAGAGATGAACAAATAAATGTTCCTCAAAAGCCAGACGATCATATTTGATATTAACATTTAACAATGATTTTTCTTAAAAAAAAAAATTAAAAAAAATGCATGGATAATCAAATAAACCTAAGTTTCTTCAGTCCAATAAGTTACTCATCATGAAATATTACTAACAATATAAAAGTTATTCTTATGTTTACTTTACAAAAATCAGTAAAGATTTCACAGCAAAAAGACATGTGAACCACGAGCTGAAGGTTGACATACAATTATATTAATAAGCCTTTTACTTGCTAAAAAAATACAAACTATCAATCAGATGACAGAAGGCATGTAGATTGTTTACAACAGGATTTTCAGCTATTTTTTTTTATCATATTGATAATTTAGAGGCCTTAGAAATGTGTGTATTAAATATGATACAGTATGCTTTATAAGGTTAAGTTCTGATGCCTCATGTCAGTGTGTTAGGAAACCTGTATGTAAACAGTCATTATTTGTGCATTTCAACTTGGTGGCTTTAGTAACATAGACACACTTTAGCTTTAACTTAACAGCTTCAGTGGCGTCAAAGGTCTTTGTGAACAGAAAAACACCAAATGTCCAAAACTATTTCCTCTGAAAGCTACACGTATGTAACAGAAACCAAATGCAAGTGATATAAGGTTTAAACCTTCTTCTCCTCCTGTAGAGCCACCAGCTCATGGTATCGAGGGATGACCAGCTCTGAATGGCCTCTCTGCTCTCGCCTGAGATTCACATTCTCATAGAGGACAGTGTGATCCCTGATACACACACAACAACACACAGGGATACACAAAATCAACCATTTAATCAAACACACCATAGAGTGCTGCAGAGATGACTTAGGCTTCAAAATTCATAGTTGTGCTCATTTGTGAAGATTATCATGATGAACAACACATGCAAGATTCATAAACTTTTGTTGGCACCGAGTTTATTTTCCACAATAATCCAAAAGCCAATCGAAAAACCCTACTGGGTTTTGTCGAGGGAACCAGGGTGATGCTAATTTACGGGTTGGCCTACAAAAATACACTGCAGTGCTCTATTGCCTCAAACAAAACAATCAATTTTTCAAAAAAGAATGCAAAATCATTCAAATGGCAAATCCCAAGACTAGGTTTTCCTCAAAAGCTTATCATATCAACCCAGTATCTTGTAAGTGTGACTTACTCCCATATTTTGAGGAAAGGTTAGTTAGTTTAATAGATAAAGGATACACAACAAATACACCACGTTGGTCTGTGGGTGTGCCGTCTGTAAAATTTATTCTGAAGCATCTGCACATGGCAAACCAAGTCCAGATGCTTCAGAATAAATTTTGCAAGACGATGCAAATGCTGTTGTGTTGCAGCTGAGAACATATGCATCATTCAAACTCACTCTTGTAGATCATACTGTCCTGGTCCAGGTCTGTCTCCACCCTTTACCTGCTCTCTCCGTCCTGACATCTTCCCGAAATGCACACCTTGATACTTCTGAGAGGACAACAGCTCCTGCTGCAAAATGGCAAAAATAAAGAAATTTTTCAATATATATTTTTGCAATTTCAATCCTTTCACCTTGAATGTTTGTTCCTAAGCTCAATTCTCATGTATCAGCACTTTCATCAGACATAATAATACAGACTTATGTTTTAAAGGGAAACGCATACTTTAACATTCAAAGTCAACTAAGACCATTTACTGTATTGAAACTAAACTGCAAAAAAACCTCATCATTCAGAAAATATCATGATTAGATGATCAAAACTCTCAGTATATTAAAAGGAAAACTTCAGCGTTTCTGCTAAATTCATATTTGAAATATATAAAATGTTGTTATTTGTATGAGGTAGACACACCTGAAAAAATATAATATTAACACATTATCAATAATATTAATATAAAATTATTCATATAATTATTTTACCAACTTAACACTATTTTTTTAATCTTTAAACATTAAAACACACACTGACTTTTTTTTTATTTTGCCAGATTTCATAAGTAAAAAATGTATTTTCTAGTATATTTCAAAACTTGATTTCACTTTGAACTGTTAAGTTTTAGAACTTACTTTTGAATTTATTTTGTAATTTTCACATTTTCATTAATTTGGGGGTTTTGTCAGATTTCATAAGTAAAAAAAAAAACAGCTAACCATTTTTATAGTATATTTAATAACCTGATGTCTATGTAAAATTTTTGAAATTATATATGGATTATATATTATTTAAAGACAAAACTGATTTATATTGATATATTAAAGACAGAATTGATTTAGATATTTATTATACAGTTTATTTATATTTTAATATTTATACAATTTATTTATATTTATTATACAATATTGAGTATTAGCCATAATAGATGGTTATTCGTCATCATAAATCGTGAACTTTACAGGCCAAATTTTCAATGTCAGTGCATTCATAATGAAACCTTGATGAAAATGGTCAATTAACCTTGATGAAGCTCGATGAGCTGCATGTTTCATGTACACTATGGCTCAGTAGGTTTTGGGTCAGAGATAAGTAGTCTTCAGTGAAACAACAAAGTGCTACAAAGTGTAGAATATAACCATTTTACAAAAAGGACTTTAAATGGGTGGAATATGTGTAATCAACAAGAAAACCTGAGACGGGAGAGAGAAACAGAGCTGCACCATGATGGATGGCCCTGCACTTTGATAAAGAGTTCTTCCCCCTCTAGAGGAAGTTGGAAGCTCAATGGCAAATGAAAGATGATTTGATTAAAGCTGAGTCCAGCATCTGCTGCATTATTGTAAGTGAATATTGAAATATAACGTAAAGAATAATTACCCAGGGTTTTCAGTCCTGACAGTAAAATGGATGAGTGCTGTGCTTTGTGACTTTTTAAAATAATGCAGCGATCATTAGTAATGGAAATAGGCCTGGCACTAATGATGCAGAGCAGAGGGGCATTAGACGCTCTTCTGTTAATGGACACATCTGACCTCACACACACACACACACCGACTAACTCAAGCATGCACACTCAAAGCACTCCATTAGACGTGCATCTTTTTCACTGAGTGCACATCCATTTACACACACTGCTCGTAATCTGTCTGACCGGTACGGGACTGTAGAAGGCCGGGCCGAGGGTCTGGTCTCTGGTGGGGGGTTTGTGTCGGTGCAGGACACCTTGAGCATCCTCTTCATATCCAAATGCCTGTCCGGGAGACGGGATGGCCGGAGCATCATGATTTAGCAGCAACCTCGCCGCTTTAGAGACAGCCTGCAGACATCAAGATGACATATAATCAAAGAAGTCGTATCCATATATAGCTCCTTCTGATTGGAATAAGCTTCCTCAGTCTTTGAGATCTGCTACTTCCTTTTGTTTTACACTGTATCTCTATTTTCTTATCTCAAAATAGTTTGTGTATGTTTCTAAGTTTTCTTATGTTGATTCTGCATAAGTATGATGCTGATTGTTTTGTAATCATGCTGTGGGAGTGGGGGACTGGTTGAGCGTGTCTTTTGTTTTTGTATATTTGTGTGTGTACATATGGTTGTTTTGTTTATGTTGTAATATTTTGTTTTTGTGTTTATAGGAGCCCCTTGAAAATTAGATGTTACATCTCAAGGGGCCATCCTTTCAATAAATTCAAATATACACATATCAAACCATTAACAAAGAGAGATTCATTACAGCTGCAGGAAAAAGTATGTGAACCCTTTGGGTTTACCTGGATATCTGCATTAATTGTGAATAAAAATCTGATCGAATGTTTAACTAAATTGTGTGTTTTTATTGTACATATTGTTCAAAATATTTTGGGGTAAATGTGATTAATTGGTGTGAAAATAATGTCAAACAGGTTTTAGCATCTTTATGCAATATATACATATTGCATATATATATATATAATATTTACCAAGGGTGCCGATATTTTTGGCCCTGTATATATATATATATATATATATATATAGTGGGTATAGAAAAGAATCACCCCCTTTAAAATAATCACATTTTGTTGCTTTGCAGCCTGAAATTACTGCTCAGAGAACCGCTGATATTATACGACCCTGGTCCAATTTCAGTCGTGGTGCCGCTTAAATGTGTGAACCTGGGAGCTCGGTCATACATGCTGATTAATTATGTATCTTATACAACGATGAAACGTGTGTAATTAACTAATGTAACATAGCGAGAGCAGTGAAGTCTCTCTCAGTCACTTCACAAACTCATGTCACTGGAGCACGTCAGCGCGTTGCCTGTACGCCCAATTACCAAAACTTCGGTGCTCATTAATATTAATTAGGTAATGGAGACAGTCGTAAACTTCTTCCTGAAGCAGCCAGTCACTGAACCTGCCTAACGGTCATTAATATTCATGAGCTAATTCGTTGCCTGGACACTGAAACGCGGTCATGGGTGGAAAAACACTAAACTATGTAGAGAAAAGTGTTCATTCTCTGTGTCTAACTTCATTCGAACCTCAATAAATAAATAAACAAACGGACATTTATTCATTTTTACAATTAAGGCGATATAATAATAATAATGATTAAATAACCATAAAACGATCAAAATGACGAGCGTTAATAAAACAAGCATCACCACAACATGACTGAAAAAAACATAAACAAATACAAAATCGACCTCTTATTTATATAGTTCAGCAAATAATATACATTTAAATATAACTTATACTAGTGTTAGATTACATACAAACAAATGAGGAAAAACACAAGCTACAGCCTAAATAAAGAAGAAATTACAAAACATATCAATTAAGTATGAATGGTGTGAAAATTAGCTATAGATAATAAATGTAATAACTTTTATGGGCCTATTAAAAAAATTATATAGAACTACATACCTTTTTGGAATTCGTTATATTATCAGATTGAATGGAAAGAGGTCTGGAGTTTACCTATAAATACTGTCTTATTATTTACTTATATTACTATTTTAGATCTATGCATCTTTTGTAAGTGTATTTACCCAAATGTTTTGGATTGATACGGAATATCTAATATTTAAAGACTCGAAGATATATTTGTTGTAGCCTATAAAAATAAGAGTTTGGAGCCAAATTGGGTGATTAATTTAATAATTCTGTATGTGAAATATCATATACACAAAGAAAAATTGACTAATAATAAAACAACATTACATTATTTAAAACTGAACTCAAGCATTACATTGACGCCTTAAAAGATCTAAGAAATAAAAAAGCAAAAAGGATGTATAGAATTCTTTGAACCATTGTGTTATGGAAATTTCTTGTAAATGCTATGAATGTAATTGATAATAGTTGAAAACACTGTGATCCTCTCATGTTACTGTTCTTGTCATGCAATGAAAAATTACAAAACAGTGAGAATTATATTATTTTCTAATTTTAAAAGTGCCATTAATTAATAGTTCCTCTAAAGTGTTTTTACGGCCAAAATAAATTGAAATGTAAAGTTTTGGTTGCTAAAGTAAAACAGGGAGAAACAAATTAATATTTTTATTATTTTTTATTATTATTATTTTATAAATTTAAAAAGTGCCATTAATTAATAGTTCCTCTAAAGTGTTTTATGTCACAAAAAAAAGAAAAGAAAAAAGAAATGTAATGTTTTGGCTGCTAAACCGAAAACTATACTGTTCATCCGCGCCGGTGTGTGGCGCTGCGTGCACAGATCGGCTGTTCACGAACCTGCCCGAGGATCCCCGAAGAACCGTAAACAAAGAGATCCAGTAGAACAGGGTCGCGGAACCACAGCTGCCGCTGCTAAAAACATCAGCTGTAAGTTGAAATCGCATATTCTGTTTCTCTACACTTGAACACAGTAACGGGAGCGCAGAGAACTCGTCGTCGTGGCACTTTTGTCTGTTTTTGTGTGTCCCGCAGTGAAAGCAGGACACGTTGTTGGTCGAGCATGCCCAGTAACACAGCTCAACTCCTGGAGTCAGACGATACTGAGCCGGACCTCCCGGTACCGGTACAGAACCTGAGCGGGTTGAGCCTCCGGGATGATGAGAGTCCATCAGAACTACATGCTACTTCTCATCTGGGTGTCCTGGGTGCGGTATTGGACCTCCAGCCCTTATCCCAAACTGGATCAGAGGAGGAAAACACCACCACCAGTAACAATAGCAACATTATCAGACATGATGCTGATCTAGACCAGCTGAGGGCCTGGGCCCTCACAGCCGTGGAGGCACCGGGGACCAGTGGGCTCTTCCAGGACGGGCCGGGCGAGTCCCAGGGCTATCAGGTTCAGGGGAGTATGATGATGGCGATGATGATGATGCAGGAGGGTGAGAGGTGTGCACTCAATACCAGGAGGAAGAGCGTGAACACAACAGAGTGTGTGATGGTGGCCACTTCTGAACATGTGGCGGAAATAGTTGGCCGACAGGGTGGGTTTGTTTGATCGTTAAGGTTTCATGTTTGATATTCTAATATTGTGACTCATCTTGGCTCACTTTTCAACAGTGTTCAACAGTAAGGAGGCCAGTTGGATTAGTGATTCATATTTGTACTCGCCCTTCTGATTTTCACACCTCACCTCATGAAAAAAATAAAAATAATAATAATTTTACATATGAAGAGTTCAGATGCAAAAGCCTCTAAGTGCCATCTGAAATTTTCTTCTAAAATTAGCATTTTTATCAGACTCCTATGTTTAGGTTCAGTAATTTTACTTTAATGACAATGTATAGGTCCTTTTCTATGCCATTAAAGTGAAATAAATGAGGCTTTTGCATCTGAACTCTTCATACATATATATATATAAACAAAAAATAAACAAAAAAATTTAATTATATAATTAACAAAATTATTAATTATATATGTTATCAGTAATACATATATGCATATAATGCCGTATTAGTAATAAAATAATCATATTAATATAAACATTTTAATATTAATATTATTTTACCGAAATATTTAGTTAGAAAAGATATATTTTGTATTTTTCATTAAAGAGTAAGTTTAGTTACCAAAAAGTTTTAAATTCACCAGATTTCAGACGGTAAAAAAAAAGTTAGCCATCTTTTTTTAGTATATTCTGATACCGGAATTAACTTTGAACCAGGGTTATTATAGTTAACTCAAACTGAAACCATAAAAAACCCATTTCATTACTTGAACAAAAATAAATAAAAACCTTTTTTATTTCAGTTAGTTGGTATCATTTCTCATTTTAATTTAGTTTAACTAAAATAACTAACTTGATATACTAAAATAACTCAAACTGAAATAAAAATTCATAAAAGACTAGATATATAAACTAGATAATAATAATAATAATAATAATAGACATGTATAAATAAAACAAAAACTACTAAAAATGGCAAAAAAAAAACAACACAATTACTAAAACTAACTAAAATAAAAATATTAATGCAAAATATAAATAAAAACTGATTCAAAATATTTGCAAACATTTTTTAAAGTTTTTTTTTTATTTAAAAAAAAGACTAAACTTTATTTATAATATTAGTAATAAGCCTGACCATTCATCATAATTATTTGTAAATTGTGTGGGCCAATTTCTCAATATCAGTGCATTCATAATGAAACCATTATGAAAATGGTTTTAATAATATATGCTTGCATTGACCTCGTTGAAGTGCATGTGCCATGTACACTGAAGATTACAGCTGCCCCACTTATCTGTAATAACGTGATGTTTCTTCACTGAACTGCATGAAAACAAGTTGTGTAATACTAACAAGCCCTCTTACTATATCAAGTATGTTAGTATTGACCAATCAGCATCCAGGACTGCTCTAATTACTCCTGAGAAGAGATCACTTGTCTCGTCACGCCAAGCCGTGACAAAGAACCAGTGTTTGAGGTGACCGGGATGCCTGAGAACGTAGACCGAGCTCGGGAGGAAATCGAAGCCCATATTGCGATGCGAACCGCAGGAAGCGTGGACACCAGCATGGATGATGATGACTTCCACTACAACGGCACCGACGTTGGTTTCGAGTCGGGCGGCAACAGAGCATGGCTCTTCTCCGGCAGCGTTTCCAACTTCCACAGCAACGCCGCAGGGTATCGCAACGACAGCTCCAGCTCGCTCGGAAGCAACTCTAGCGAGTCGTACTACAGCGGGAAAGGCAGCGGAGTGGCGGATCTCAGTCCCGGCAGCAGTGGAGGCACATTCTGGTTTGGCGATTCCCAGTTGCCCTTGGGATCCGAAGATCCTGCGGGATACGACGGGCTAACGATGACGGCGCCGTCCACCAATCCGCAGCCGACACTGTGGGGCACTTTCGAGCGGGGAGGCGCTAGTTTGCCCACTACGCCGAGGCTCTCTCCATCCCGTCTGTCTCCGTCTCTTCCGGAGGATCATCCGCTGGTTCGGTTGGTGCAGGAGAATTCCCAGAGCCTCCCGGCCTTTGGTTCCGCATTTTCTCCGTCTAGCGACAGCACGGGCTCCAGCTCTCTGCCGGACGTGCGCACTTACCCCAAACACAGCCAGGCTCCTGCGTGCGTATGTTGCGGAGACAACATGGCGGCGCTTGTCCTGGGCGGGCAAAACCTTGTTTGTTTGGAGTGTTCCAACTCCATCCTGCAAAGTGCGTAGAGAGAGAGGAAAAAATTGGGATCTCAAGAAGTACACTGGTTTAATTTTTTACATTGAAATACTTCTTCCTTCTGTATTATGCTTAAATAACTGGGAAATGCAGGTTTTTGATTAATAACCACAGTTGAGTTCATCTCAGAGATTTGCGTTTAGCTGCTACGTCGTTCTTACGGCGAGCGGCGCTGGGGTTTAGCAGTGCTAAATTGCTATCACCTGTGTTTTTTGTTGTTTTGTTTTCAAGGTATCGATTGTGTTTACATTTTCATGTGCCTGATTCCATGACGTTGCTGCAAAATTATCTGTGGCCTTTTGTTTCTGTTTCACAACACTAGAGTCGAGCAGCATGCGATCATAAAGAGCAGTCCTGAACTCTTTGAACATCTCCATAAACATTATGAAATTTAAGGGCATTGCATGTCATCATTAAAGGAATAGTTCACCCAAAAATGAAAATTTGCTGAAAATTTACTCACCCTCAGCCCTTTCAAGATGTAGATGAGTTTGGTTCTTCATCAGAACAGATTTGAAGAAATTTAGCATTAGATCAGTTGCTCACCAATGGAGAAAGCAATATTATGGATAGAGGACTCCTATTTTAGCCCGCAACAATGGTTTGAAGTTAAAATGCCTTGATGGATTTGTTTCTTACAAACATGCAGCTTTTCAATTGACAAGAGTCAAGTGAAGTGATGAACTGGAGTGGTGTGGATTATTGTAATGTTTTTATCAGCTGTTTGGACTCTCATTCTGACGGCACCCATTCACTGCAGAGAGTGAGCAAGTGATGGAATGTGTACACATTTAATTTCTCCAAATCTGTTCCCATGAAGAAACAAACTCATCTATATCTTGGATGGCCTGAAAATGACATTTCTGCAAATTTTCAATTTTGAGTGAACTATTCCTTTAAACATGAGCAAAATGAATTTGAATTTGTTAAACTGAACACGTCAAATTACATGCAAGTAATTTTTAGATAAATGTAAACATTGGTTATGCTTGCGTTTCAAATGAATTTCGCATTCCGCATTCAATTCTAACACATATTTGTATACCAATTTTGGGATATCGTATACAAAAGCTGGATGGAAATGCGAAATGCCGAAAATTTCAAAAATGCACCTAGAAAACATAGACGCTCAGTTGAGATTCCTAGTTTTTTTTGGTTGGGAATAGAACGTGCACAAATTATGATGGAAAAACATTTACCAAATAAATTGCTGGATGCGCAATAAAAAAAAGTCAGCACAAAATTGCTTTCCAAAACATCAGGCTTCCCCAGTTGCACCAATTTTTTATTTTATTACTCATACTTTGCGCCATTTTCCCAGGAAGTTAAGATTGTATTCTCTTGAACACATGATCTCAAATGTTTTATGCAATATTCCAATTTTTCGCACAAGTTTAATTTGCAACTATTGATAGAAACATTAAAGGGATAGTTCACCCAAAAATGAAAATTTGATGTTTATCTGCTTACCCCCAGGGCATCCAAGATGTAGGTGAATTTGTTTCTTCAGTAGAACACAAATGAAGATTTTTAACTCAAACCGTTGCAGTCTGTCAGTCTTATAATGGAAGTGAATGGGAATTACGGCTTTGAGAGTAAAAAAAAAAACATACACAAACAAAACCAAATTAAACCCTGCGGCTCGTGACGATACATTGATGTGTAAAGATACAAAACGATCGGTCTGTGCAAGAAACTGAACAGTATTTATATCTGTGTTTTTTGTTGTTTTGTTTTCAAGGTATCGATTGTGTTTACATTTTCATGTGCCTGATTCCATGACGTTGCTGCAAAATTATCTGTGGCCTTTTGTTTCTGTTTCACAACACTAGAGTCGAGCAGCATGCGATCATAAAGAGCAGTCCTGAACTCTTTGAACATCTCCATAAACATTATGAAATTTAAGGGCATTGCATGTCATCATTAAAGGAATAGTTCACCCAAAAATGAAAATTTGCTGAAAATTTACTCACCCTCAGCCCTTTCAAGATGTAGATGAGTTTGGTTCTTCATCAGAACAGATTTGAAGAAATTTAGCATTAGATCAGTTGCTCACCAATGGAGAAAGCAATATTATGGATAGAGGACTCCTATTTTAGCCCGCAACAATGGTTTGAAGTTAAAATGCCTTGATGGATTTGTTTCTTACAAACATGCAGCTTTTCAATTGACAAGAGTCAAGTGAAGTGATGAACTGGAGTGGTGTGGATTATTGTAATGTTTTTATCAGCTGTTTGGACTCTCATTCTGACGGCACCCATTCACTGCAGAGAGTGAGCAAGTGATGGAATGTGTACACATTTAATTTCTCCAAATCTGTTCCCATGAAGAAACAAACTCATCTATATCTTGGATGGCCTGAAATGACATTTTCTGCAAATTTTCAATTTTGAGTGAACTATTCCTTTAAACATGAGCAAAATGAATTTGAATTTGTTAAACTGAACACGTCAAATTACATGCAAGTAATTTTTAGATAAATGTAAACATTGGTTATGCTTGCGTTTCAAATGAATTTCGCATTCAATTCATGTTTCTAACACATATTTGTATACCAATTTTGGGATATCGTATACAAAAGCTGGATGGAAATGCCAAGATGTGAAAATTTCAAAAATGCACCTAGAAAACATAGACGCTCAGTTGAGATTCCTAGTTTTTTTTGGTTGGGAATAGAACGTGCACAAATTATGATGGAAAAACATTTACCAAATAAATTGCTGGATGCGCAATAAAAAAAAGTCAGCACAAAATTGCTTTCCAAAACATCAGGCTTCCCCAGTTGCACCAATTTTTTATTTTATTACTCATACTTTGCGCCATTTTCCCAGGAAGTTAAGATTGTATTCTCTTGAACACATGATCTCAAATGTTTTATGCAATATTCCAATTTTTCGCACAAGTTTAATTTGCAACTATTGATAGAAACATTAAAGGGATAGTTCACCCAAAAATGAAAATTTGATGTTTATCTGCTTACCCCCAGGGCATCCAAGATGTAGGTGAATTTGTTTCTTCAGTAGAACACAAATGAAGATTTTTAACTCAAACCGTTGCAGTCTGTCAGTCTTATAATGGAAGTGAATGGGAATTACGGCGTCCATCTGATAAAGCAAGAAGAAGAAGACGCGTCACGCGCCGGCTGTCGAGGACATGCTCAGGACAGTTAGGACAGTTCAGTGCATCAGAGGTAAAAAAACTATATAAATACTGTTCAGTTTCTTGCACAGACCGATCGTTTCGTGTTTTTACACATCAAAGTATCATCGCGAGCCGCAGGGTTTAATTTGGTTTTGTTTGTGTATGTTTTTTTGACTCTCAAAGCCGTGATTCCTATTCACTTCCATTATATGACTGAAAGACTGCAACGGTTTGAGTTAAACATCTTCGTTTGTGTTCTACTGAAGAAACAAAGTCACCTACATCTTGGATGCCCTGGGGGTAAGCAGATAAACATCAAA